AATAATCTCAGAAACGTTTTTTGTTTAATCTGTTATTTAATTCTTGTATTCAGAAGAATAAATTAAAACACAATTTAACTTTGGTGATAGAAACAAAGTGACGAGAGAATTTAGTCAGTCGATATTTGATATTATATTTGGTTCTTTTTATGAGAAACATACTAAATTATTTCCATATTTCAACGAGACAGGGGATCGGTGACAGTAAACGTAGCTAACGTCTAATGTTTATATGCTTTGCACCCCCTAGTGGCTCAGTGCTAAGTCTGCGGACTTATACAACTAAAAACCGGGTCTCGATACTCATGGTGACGCATCACATACAACCCATTGTGTAGCTTTGTGCTTAACAAACATGTGTTTTGTAAGTTATTTCTTTAATCAGACCAGTGGTAAGTTTACGAATTTACAAGATTAAAAAGCAAAGGTTGATACTTCGCGTTGTACAGAGCGTTGCGTTAAAACAATAACAAATTATTAGCTTCGTTGAAATAGTTGGTTAAAATGTTATTATATACTTAGTTTTTTTCTTTTTTACTTCATATTTAAAATAATTTTTATTATCAGAATTCCATTAGTATGGAATATATATATATATATATATATTGTCAAAAAAGTGGAAGCCGTACGGCTTCAATAAAGTTTTTATTGTGTAAATATAAAACGTTGTTTTTAATTATTTATTATAATTTAAAACATTTTAAACACAAGCGCCGGTAGTTCATAAACATAAAATTACGTTTTTTGTAGTATCTTCATCCCAATATAATTACTAAAAATGGGAAGGTCCACCATTTTTGTTTGTCAGTGTATGGGACCTGTAAAAAATATTTGTGTACTAAATCCCATATAAACCGGTAAAAACATGGCCGAGTGATTGACCAAAAAATCTTAAAATTATGCTTTTTTGTGAGCTCTGATCCCAAAAAATGGCAAATCCAACTTTTTATATGCTAAGGTGTTCGGCTCATGAAAATTTATATATGTGCCAATTTTCATTTCTATAATGTAAATATGACCGCACAGGAGCCCAAAATATACATTTTTTTTGGGGGGGTTACCTTTGTCACCATAGAATCCTTAAAAAGGTCTAAATGAAAAAAAATTAAAAAGACGTCTGGGTGTACTGGACCAAAGTATAGACCTAAATAGTTTCAAGTTAATACGCCGAGAAATGAAGGAATGTCAGTCATTGAAAATGTTTTGGAAGAGGAAGATAAAATAATAATAATAAAAAAACATGTCTCTCTGTGGAGACATAATTAGATTAAAAGGTAATTTCTGTAGAATACTTAAAATGTTTGTGGTCAACGGTATCTTGGCGACCACTAGTTTTGTTCTATGTTCGTGCTGATTCTTGTTGTAATTTGAAATGTGTGATTTCCTTGACTATTTCTAGCTAGTTTTACTTTCCCGAGAAAAATGAAATTTTCTATGTAATAAAACATTTGACTGGGGCTGTGGTATGTTCCAAGTCGCAGATGTTTCTCAGAGTAATCAGTTAGTACCCGCTAACTGGGGGTTCAAAGGAAACCGAGTTGTGGAGTGTGCATCTATTTATCACTCCAATCTCTGACTGAGTTCATCAAGAGGAAAGAGATGAATCAGGAAAGATGCACAAAAACAATTTGTACTAAAAAATATATCAATATAATCACAGACAAAAAAGTAAACAAATAGCAAGTGTGTTTGTGGTGAGCATATTGGACCAGTGAGTGAGAGAGAAAGGAAGGAAGTGGAATCCCGCTGAGCTCTTTTGTCTAGGATGTGCCCCTCCCCTGCTCATTAAACTAGAACTGTGCAATATTAAGCTAAACCAAAGTTAAATTGCAATAAAATAATGTGTGTGCCACGAGATAAGATAAATGCTCTACTAAAACTCTACACAGCTACATCAAACATTAGCTGATGTACTAAGGTCACTTGTGGATTATGTGTAAACAACTACAACAAACATTAGCTAATGTACTAAGGTCACTTGTGGATTATGTGTAAACAACTACAACAAACATTAGCTAATGTACTAAGGTCACTTGTGGATTATGTGTAAACAACTACATCAAACATTAGCTAATGTACTAAGGTCACTTGTGGATTATGTGTATACAGCTACAACAAACATTAGCTAATGTACTAAGTTCACTAGTGGATTATGTGTATACAGCTACAACAAACATTAGCTAATGTACTAAGGTCACTTGTGGATTATGTGTAAACAGCTACATCATACATACCTGAACGGTGACATAGTTGCACACTGCTCGTGTAAGACGGAGCCACGACGGAAGTTCTAACAAGTCCATTAAAACTGCCTCATTCAACTCCAGGTTTTGAAGCTCACCATGGCCTTTCAGTGTACTGACATGTAATTTATCTGGAGATAGATTCTTTGCAAATCTGTGTGTTTATGGAGTATTAAACAAATATTAAAAGAACAATAATTTTGCAACATACAATACTTTCATCTACATGATGCAGATGAAGGAAAATACACATACAAGTATGTATGTTTTATAAGTATATTTTTCTAAAGCATGTACATGATGACTTGTTATTACCCTGTATACATGAAATACTGATCATAAACCTCAAGTTGAGTTAAATGTAACAGACAAATGTTGTAAACTTTCAATATCCTCAAACAAAATCAAATAAATATTTTAGCTTCTATGTTCAATATTTAAAAACACAAGAAAAATCGGGGAGACCGAAAGTTATCCAACCCATCAAGACCCTCACCCACATAAAACATGTGAAAAATGTTTTCAAATTAAGTGTGTGTACACATCAAAACACCTATTTCACAAAATTATTTTATACATCCAAAAGCACATATCACATAATCAAACAACATTCATTTTAGTGAATGGAAATTCTACATTTTAACCTACTTCTCATTCCACCACTCAGACTAAACATAAGAAGCATGTTCAAATTACTAACAACTTAAAACACCTAAATTAAGTCTTTTCAATACTTCTAACTCCAGACAAAAGTTCAAAAGTTCTCATAGCTCAAGTAATCTCTGTCTCTCTGATCTTTTGAACTTTATGCTATCCTTCCTGTAGTCCAAGGATCAAAACTGCACACAGTACTTCAAAGAAACCTCATTACTGTTACACAAAGTTGTTATGAGAAACTAACAAACTGAATAATCAAAAAACTATTAGTGAAATCTGCTATTTAGTTAACCATCAGGATCATTAATTGATTACATTCAGCTAATAAACCATTCTCATGAGAGGGCTAAAAAAGAATGAATTATTTCTACGAATTTACTAGAGAGAAAAATTATAGTATTATAAATCAGGTTTATATCCACATAGTGAACATAGCACAGCTAATCCAATATAGCCTTGTGTTCAACATAATTGAAAACGGTAGTAGTAATCTGGAACCCTAATTTCATTTAGTTGATAATTTGTAGGGCCTTAACTGATGTACCTCCAATTTCAATTACCAGGTGTTTGAAATAATCATCAGAAATACTGGTTGATGACATTAATCAAATAATCATTATTTGATGTGTCACTAGTCAACATAATTAATGCTAAGTTATATATTATGTATTCAACCTCTCATACAAGGAAAACGAGAGCAGACTTTCTAAGGATACCGAGCATACGGAATAATATTCAATGTTCTTACATAAACATGTATGACTGCATAACAAGAATAATTCCCATGATGCATTAGGCTTAGTTCATAGCACTCGCAATAAAATAACAGCAATGAATAACCGAGACTGAAGCAATTCATTAACTTGTTTTAACTTGAATATTCCCAGCATTTCCTCCTCTGTAAGATGTAAATGTACACTGTATCTAGTGACCAATGGTCATGTTGGACAGACAACACAATAATAAATTTAATGAATTAAACCCCCAATTCCTGTTTATTATACTGTTTTAGTTTAGTTGTAAGAGGATTCCCGAGTGAAAAGCATATTTAAAATCTCAAAAACTAGCAGAGTGATACAAAAATTTGCAAGAAATTAAACTATCTTTTACTACATTACAATATCAATCATGCAAGCCTTTAATATAAATGATACTAATGTTAGTATCATTAGTCTTAATACATAAATTTATCTGAAAAGGTTCTAAATATTATACACCACAAACAATCCATTTATATTGACCGATTTCCATGCAGTTTGTCGGAACAGTGCTGTCACTGACATAATTCTACAATAAATACAGTACTTCTCTGCTACAATGTAAATAATATTGGCTACGTTCCAAAAAGAAATACGCAATTCAGCTCAGATTTTCATGTCCTCATCCAGCACTCTTAGGCCTTACCTTCTTTAATGTTACAATAACCTTTCTATTCTGTATTGCATATTTCCATATCTAGATTCCTGTACTCTACTTTCTCTCTTTTTTTTTGTCACTACAATTAATCACACAAATGAAGGTTTTACACATTTATTAATACTTCACACCTTAATAACTTTTGTTTTCCATAGAATCAAAGTTATTCTCATACATAAACTATATCATTTTATACTTTTAAATAACAGAAATAATTTTACACTCATTTTTCTACTTACTAAAAATATCCTAGTCCTTTTGCATGAAACAAACACTTCCCTAAAATAAATTATATATCATAATCACATTTAAAAATAATACTGCCCAAGTAACTATCCAAATAGTTGATAAAAGTAACATAGAAGGTTCCAGAATAGAACTTTCACAAACACTTCCAATCAGAAAAATGTGCAGTTACAATTATAATCACCTTTTGCTCACTACAACTAAGCCTATTTTCTATTCACTTTCAATTTTTCTAAAACAGTAAAGATTTACTCCAACAGAAAAAGCTTTCTGTTCAAACAAAATAGGATTAACACAATTCCTACTTACTCATCTTAAAATAAATTTAAAAGTAAAATTTCTTGCTAAAAAAACAAATTACAATTTCAGCCATATTCCTTTTTTTTCATGATAAGTCATATATAAGAATATTTTAAATATTGATAATACTAAATTCTATTTCTGCGGTTTATATGACTATAAACACCTTTCAATATTGGGTGTAATATTTTAAGCTTGCTTACTTTCATATCCATTGTTTCTTGGATAACATTGTTGTTTGATATTTTAATATATGGAGAACACTGGAAGCCACATGGACCTTCAATTATTTCCCTGCACATTCACTCAGGAAGAAAATAATAATTTAAATCTACCACTTACTTTGAAGAATATCATCAATTCCTCTCTTAAACTGATAAGGTGCCAGTCTCTACTATTACCATTAGCAAATCAATCCATAAACTAATCATAAAGTTAGAAAAATAAAGCTCTTAACTGGATCCTAGCACGTCTTTAAATTTACAACTTGTGTCCTATAGCTCTACTATATAATACAAATAAATCTGAAGATTTTATCCATTAGTAATTTTCAATAAAAGCACCTCAAGAGAGAATAATGAAAGAGCTTTTAACTTATCCCCATAACACAATCTTTCCATCCCTAGAATTATCCTTGTAACCCTCAATTAAGTCAATATCTTTCTTAAAGAAAGAGACCAACACTGTACATAGTATTCCAAGTGAGGACTAACTAGTTACTTGTAAATAAATAATCACATCTTTTTACTGGTAATCAATGTGTTTGTAAGTAAATCTGAAAATTCTGTTTGTTTTACAACTAAAACAGAAGTTTGCTTTGAAGGCATGAATGACCTATCCACCTATGAAAGCATCCTATTCTTCAATCAAAGTTTGAGTGGGTTCCCATCCATATTAAATGTATAATTTAAATTATTATAGTCTAATTATTATAGCATTTACTATAATTAAAAGTCATTTTCCAACAGCCTGAATACAACTAGAAATATCTAAGTGTTTAATATCAACAGCAAACTTTTATTAATTATTCTCCCTCATCATTAATATAAATACAAAAAACCAAAGGCCAAGCACTGATCACTGAGGCATTTCACTAGCACCCTTCACCAATTTCTTACATGGCACATTATTAAAAGCTTTTTAAAAATAGGTCCATATCATTTCATCATCCAGACAAATAATATCATTAAAAAAAGATAAAGTTATATTACTAGGGTGAGATTTCCCTTAATATGGTGTATTTTTCCTAACCTTTACATTTTTTTATTTATTGATAATGTAATCTCTTCCTCATACATTTATGAAATGACTTTTGGTTTTAATATAATTTATAATGTACTGAAAGCAATACATTTCTTTTATACTAGTTTTATTAAAATAATGATAATTTTATATGCTTCACTCTTTGTTTCTTTCAAATCAGTTTTATATCTGTATTTGTATTATTTATATCAGCCATCGTTTCTTTGTCTTAAAGTAAAACACCCACATTTATGATAACAAATTGTAAAGTTAGTAATGGATATTACAGGTGTAAAAGGTACGAACTTTGGAATCAGACTTCTATGGGAAATTATTTCTCAATTACAATAAATAACTTGTGAAATAGATACACTTTAATGGATGTAAAAGGTTTCTGCGAGTGTACGTGTGTGTGTTTATCTTATTTATTGTGAATTTGGAGAAGTTCTTAATGGAATGTTCTCTCACTATGTTTATTCTCATGAAAATGGCTGTGACATAGTTAAGCCTTATTTTTAAAAGAAATGTATGTATTATGTATTTCCTTAGTTTGAAAATTGAGTGTAAACAAAAACAATTTGATTTTGATACATAAGATTAATGACAAATAGTTTCATATTTAAAAAAAAAAATACAAAAGAAACTAAGAGGTATATTTGTAAGAAAATAGCAGATAGCCATGATAAAAAATTAATTATACTACATTCCACAAAGTGAAAGTATGTTTACATTTTAGGTTTTCTTTGAGGAGTGAATTTTAATATATTTATAGCATTACTTATTTAGTAAATATAGTCAAAGTTTTTATGCAAGTATAAAGAACCCATGTTCATAGCATCTGAAAAAAGTTCTTATCAAATATAAATAAACTTAAAGTCCTTTTGAGGTTTCTTGGCTCAACATCATGTTATACTTAATGTCTTAAGGCAGAGATAATTACTAAGAGTTACCATCTGATTTGCATAAAAATCACATCAAAACTTAAAGAACCTTTATTGGTCCAAATAGCCTTTGAAAGAAAACCTAAAAACATGTTTTCAAACCAAGACTGCAATGGAATGGCAATAAAAGTTAAAACACCTGTTCACAGCAAAGACTGTTATAGAGATTTACAACAATGACTTACAGCTATTTTTTGGCATTATTACTATTAGTTTATCATATATATCTCCTACTTTTAGTCAACATCTTCAACATAAAAAATATCACTTAAAAATAGTTTATTTCCTTAGGTAAAGCTAATCTTTTTTTCTGATATCCAAAATTCAAGGTACAAAACTTAGTAACTTTACTGTTTACACTATGCAGTAAACTAAGAGTAAGATAAAATTTAACACTGCACTCAGTAGCTAATGCACACCTTGAATATACGCCAAAATACGAAATTACAAGTCAATCGTGATAATAATATCAATACTCAAGGGCATGACTAGAAAGAATGGTGTTAAGTTTCGTTAGAACTTAGAATTGGATGATTTACATCGCAAAGTATTAAAACATTAATTTAATGTTTGGATAATAAAGGTGAAAGCTTTTGCTCAAACTATGAAATTTGGTTATTTTTCTTTAACTTTCAAGGCTTGACGTCTATCATAATAATATACTCTTAAGTTTAAGAAGTTAGGGGATTTGCCCTTTAGACTCTGTGGGGTTTGCCCCATAGTCTAACACTGACAAATACTGGAAATAGTGAAATACACAGAGTGAACGAGTAACATAACTTTAACTTAAAGACATTACTGTCATTAGTCATTGATTAAGTTTTACAAACACCTACTTTGAAAGATGTTTTAAGATTTGATTCTTTATCAACGAAGCCATTTCAAGAACTGTGAGCTGTAGACTAGAAATATGAATTTACTATTTTTACGAAATATACTAAATAATTCGTTCGAAAACAAGATTTTCGATATGATGTACGTACTAACTTATAATCTTACATATATCCTAAACCAACCACATCAATGCTCACGCACACACGATTTAACTTAAACGCCCTCTATAATTTTTAACATTTTTGTTACATACATACATAATAATATGAAGTAAAAACATATTGATGTTATGAATACGCATATATTGTATTTATCGTGTTGTTGAAGTGGCCTGCTAAGTTCCATAACTTGTGTAGCAGGAGTAGCTCCCATTGATTATCTGGTGGTGTAAAAAGAGCAGGTCCCATTGATTAAGTAGTGGTGTAGCAGGAGTAGGTTCCATTGACTAGGTAGTGGTGTAGCAGGAGTAGGTCCCATGGTCATAGGTGGCATAACAGTAGGGGTAACAGGTGCATAGTTTATTATGTTTGAGGTTGGAATTCTTAAGCACATGCGAAAGTGGTGTTTAGTTCATTTGATTCTTACATTTGCCAATTAATTTTCTAGATATTTTACCCTAGAGATGATGTCCTTTCAAACATTTCCTATGGCTTTTTACGTCTTGGTGTTATAATTCTTTGTATTTGTTCAATTTTTTTATATAATCCTTTTAACCATTTCCTAAGGCTCTCTCGATCTTGTATTCGATGAAATTAAATTGTATTTATAATTCTCCTGTAAATCTCTATCTCATTTTTTTAATTCCCGTCTCTTTATTTTTGATCTTCTTTTCATTTTCTTTCTGGTTTTACTTAATATTATTTTAATTGTCTGCCTTTCTCCTTTAGATCTTATTTACATTTTCTTTATATTTCTTCTGGTTTCTTTTAATTTTCTGCTTCTTTCTTCTTTGTTGTCTTTCCACTGTTTCATAATTTCCAACCAATTTCAACCTCGTTTCAAACAAGTGTCATCTTAAAGATCAGCCTGTATTTTATTTTATTTTTGGCAAAATTAACTTACTATTGACACTAGCGTTGCAACGATTTCTATTGCTAGATAGTTTTTTAAAATTATTTCGTAAAAGAAGAATTAAAACGGTCAATACATGATAATGAAAGCATTATATTTCATTGACTACAAGTTTGGCAAGTTAGCTTTACCAATTCTAACTGATAGCCTTAAGTCACAGCAGATACTAATACAAATTTTACTTATATGTGACAATTTCTCATATCTCAGGTTTCTTCATTCAAACACAATTTCAATATTTGCAAGATTAACTTGTTAATGACTCGATAACTCACTAATGAATCCTCCTAAATCAATCAAGAACAAATCTAACGCACCTTGTATTTTTTATTGGCTAGGTTATTTTCTAAACTTTAAAAATACATTCCAGATTTTAAGCTAAACAGTCACCTCTAGCCAGCATTAATACAAACATAAGAAAATTAGAAAAATATCTTACAACAATACATTATTAGACATTGTCCTGTGGAATACATCAAGTGTTTTCTTTACCCAGGATTCCGCATTTAATACGCAGGTGCAAAGTCTGTGATTTTCACACTTTTCATTACTCACAAGGACATTATATTTAAGTTTCCAAAAACAGTTTTTATGTATCTTGAAGGTGGGAAGATATAAAATTAAATTATTTAGTTTTAGAGCTTGTCTAAAATATGCAGTTATCACAAGGTTAACTAAATATTTAAGCATGGCTAAAAGTAAGTTCAAATGTCTTTTTTTATATATATTTCTATATTTTCTTTTAGTTCGGTTTGGACGTAGAAAGTTGTTCAAGTAAACACTTCTTAACTTTGCTTCTTGCTATCTGTGTCCAGAACTTTACATCTGCTAGTTGGCAGTTAACCGAGTTTATTGCAGGGAAAATAACGTGTAGCAACCAGAAATAGAAAACTGTCTTTTCTCTTAATGAATCAAGTAATAACCCAGGGTTTTGCCCACCCTATATTCGAACAAAAGTGGATAGAAGTTAAGAATAGAATTTAGTGAGAAAACCCTGGCTTAAATTGTGAGATTTTGTTTTTAATACACATAATCCAGAAGTGACCTTAGTACATTAGCTAATGTTTGTTGTAGCTGTATACACGTAATCCACAAGTGACAAACAAAGGTTTAATAAACAATATCATCAAACAAAGGTTTAATAAACAATATCATCAAACAAAGGTTTAATAAACAATATCATCAAACAAAGGTTTAATAAACAATATCATCAAACAATAATTTAATAAACAATATTATCAAACAAAGGTTTAATAAACAATATCATCAAACAAAGATTTAATATGCTAGAAAGAAAATTCAAACAGAACTTTACATTAGACTTTCAATCAAATATCTTCAAGATAACTAAATTCAAAATGTAATTTTGTCCAAATTTAACAGTATGTTCATTACTGATAACAGTTGTAGACTAACTTTTAAAATCAGGTAGTGAACAGTCAATGTGAATATAATATATTAGTGATTTTAAATGGGCTAATATAACAAGATACAGTTATCACAAAATCTTTCATAGGGATATTGCTTGAAATACACACAATAAAGTGTAAGTATATTTTCTGCAGTAAAGACTGAGAAAAACCAATGTACTTGGTATTCTTACTGTCTAGTTACTAGTTTTGCTCTTAAAGTTGCCTATTTAGACCAAAATTCCCATCTGTCCAGTAAGAGTGGATTATTTTTGTACTATAGTTAGGGCCTAGAAATAAAAATGATTTGTTTCTGGTTACCTCACTAACCCTATACAAAAATGCCCAATCCTAAAGTTATGTCAACCCCCCCCCCCCCGACCCTAATGGAAAATGCTCTTCGATTAATTTGTTTTCATTAAATTATTGCACCAATCTGCTATCATACTGTGCAAGATGAAGGTCATAAAAACCATGTCTCTGATTCATTAGTTGGTGTATCAATGCTCTCAGCCAATTACAGCCGAGTTTCCACTCGGGCAATGTTATACATTTCATCACGTCAGCTAGAATATTGGCTGTCGTCTTTAACAAATGTCCACATTTCCCTACAAAAAAGACAGTGTCACAGTTTACTGGAATAGTCAAAGATGTGTTCGAGTCATACCATCCCAAACTAGATTGGAATTATTAGAAGCAGACATCAACATATGTTGGTTTAGGCAATGTTTTAGTGGACATTGGGATAGACCAATTAGTACACATGTTTGGTGTCAGATCGATGAATTTCACTGTAGGCCTAAACCAAGATGCCCCACGGAAGTTGCAAGTATCAGTAGGTCAAAGGATACAGTGACAAAATTCAATCAGCCCAATACTCTGCCTACCTACCCTATTTTTGAGGACCTAAAAAAAAAAACCTATCTATCTACCATAATTTGTTTCAGCATGTAATAGGAAACAAAGCACTTTTTTCCTAGGCCTAATGTGTCATAACTAGAACATGTTGTTTCATAAATAATTCCAATACAATGAAAACAATGTTTAGTTGTTGAATTTCACACAAAATTAATTAAGGGCAATCTGCACTAGCAGTCCCTAATTTTGAAGTGATAAGACTAGAGGGAAAACAGCCAGTCAACACCACCCACCACCTACTCTGCATCAGCTGACAATACATTCATATAGGAACCATTTAATTTGTTATGAACATCTGCTTTTACGTTCACTCCTAACTTATTTCTACCCAAGTGATTTTTGTTTTTGACTATTTCTTCATTATTTTTGTATGCTACACGGGTCACATATTTGTTTTAAATTTTTTCTCATCTTAAAAATTTCTAGTTCTCAATTCTTTTGAAATTTTAGTTCATTAATATATTTTCAATCTCTTTCGTTTATTCCTTCTTTTGCACACATTTTCTGTTCCACTTATTTCTGCCTATAGGCTGCAAATTACTACCATACTTGCAAATTTCAGCAGTTACATGCTATCAGGATGAGCTACCAAAAAACTTGACATCATAATTCAACTTTCACAATTCTCTTCATTATAAATCCACCCATGAAGAAATGTCTACCATCCAAAATTATCCAAGCTATCAAGTTTCTGTCACTTGTGGATTATGTGTAAACAGCTACATCAAACATTAGCTAATGTACTAAGGCTTTTAACTATGTACTAGACCATCTGAAATCATATGGAACAAATACCAATCACCATAAATGGGTTTAATCATTAAAATATTGATGAAATTTCTATATGATACATTATTATTAGTGACCTCACTATTAACCTGTATGTGCAAATTCTTCGAAGGTCAATAAACACAAATTAAAGAAAAACAAAGCATTTAAGATGCACCTTTAAGATCTTAGCAGAATAATTAGAAAAACTGGGCATTAAAGAAGCTATAATAATTCATAGATAGGTGTGTATGGGAAATGACAATCTTACCAACTGGATGGGAACAGACTTCAGTTTTGTCCAATATATCTGAAAGAGAGATTTCTTCTTATGTACCAACAAACAAAGGTTTAATAAACAATATCAAACAAAGATTTAATAAACAATATTATCAAACAAAGGTTTAATAAACAATATCATCAAACAAAGGTTTAATAAACAATATCATCAAACAAAGGTTTAATAAACAATATCATCAAACAAAGGTTTAATAAACAATATCATCAAACAAAGGTTTAATAAACAATATCATCAAACAAAGGTTTAATAAACAATATCATCAAACAAAGGTTTAATAAACAATATCATCAAACAAAGGTTTAATAAACAATATCATCAAACAAAGGTTTAATAAACAATATCATCAAACAAAGGTTTAATAAACAATATCATCAAACAAAGATTTAATAAACAATATTATCAAACAAAGGTTTAATAAACAATATTATCAAACAAAGGTTTAATAAACAATATTATGATCTATTTTCATATTTGAAGCTAGAAATAAGGGTTAATAGCTGGCCTATGGAATGCTGGGATATTACTGACTTTGTACATTTATTCTCAGATTTACCACCAGAAATGATAATTTTTACTTTTTAGTTGGCCTATAAAGTGCTGATATTTTTAAAAAGTTATACTGTAAATTTCTTCTCAGACTTTATATTAGAAATTTGGGTTAAAAAAATTGGACCATGAAATGCTGGGATATTTCTTTGACTTTATACTGTAAAGCTATCCTCATAGTTAACACTAGAAAATAGAATTTATGACCAGCCTATCAAGTGGTAGAAAAGAACTTGTAATTACAAATCTTTATGAAAAATAAAATTCACCAACCTGTAACTTGGGCGACTAGCAGAGGGCATAACTGGCCTTAACTCCTCACAAGTTTCCATTTCCACCAAAACCTCATCTAAATACTGAGATACAAAATGTATTTAAGTCTAACTTTTGGTTAAAGTAGTTGCTCTACAGTATGGGACAAATGTATCACAAACCCATTATATATATCGAGTATAATATTTAAGTTTCATTATAAGTAAACCCAATTTATATAAAAATATGTACAACATGGTTAACTTAAATAATAAATATGGATAATTTAATTTGAAACAATGGTAAGTCAGTAATATCCCAGCATTCCATAGG